GCTTACTTATCATAGTGGTGCCACCTGCGACGGCAGCTCGGGTTCCATGGTAGAAATCATCGACGGCCACGGCTCCGCCGAAAGGCAACTGCAAATGCGTGTGGGGATCTATTCCTCCCGGAATGATCATAAGCCCGCTGGCGTCGATGGTGCGGACTCCTCCTGGTATCGTTATTTCAGACGAGGGTCCCACAAACCTTGAAAAAAAAGAGGGTTGGATTTTTTCTTAGACTTGGTTGACTTAGGCTTTAAGAGGGAAATATATGTCTTTTTGGTGAGTCATGCCAACGCCCTTAATTATTCTGCTAAAGTGTGTGAAAAAGGTTTACTCCTTATTGGACTGGATTGGGAATGGTTTAGGATCAAGGGACTTTATTAATCGGAAGTCATGACAAAGCCAAAGTTAATAAAAACAGCAAAATTAAAGCAAATTTTCAAAACGAATAAATTAATTTTATTGGTATTGTAGTTTTCTAAAAACTAAAACGAAGTTTAATTTAATTATTGCCATACGAGAAACATAACTTTTACTTCAACCAAATAAATATTTCAATTTTTAAGTAAATCAATATTTATATTTTGATTAAAAAAAAAATGTAACTTAAATTGTTAATATATGCCATGTTGTATAGGTATAAAAATAATTTTTATCAAAATATTTTTAAGATTGATAACAAAAAGAAAAATTTTTTAAGGATTCGATCAAATTGTTTAAATGATTTGCACATACTTGATAATTCCGTCCTCGATGTACACGTCCGCTTTAAACGATTTATCATGGTTGACAATCTCGCCTGTAATGAAATCAATGTTTCTAACTTCAGTTTTTCACACGGAATCGGTTAATGAGCTTACCATTTTTAATATAGACACGATTCTGGGCGCTCTGCAAGTGAATCGGCACCTTCTTAACCGGTTTTGGGCTAGTCGACATGGCGAGAGTCTGCAATTAAATGAGTGCTGTGAGTGAGTGTTAGACTAGACTGGGGAGGATTTCCCCATTTCCCACACACAGACACGCGAGCTGGCGTTTTCATTCATGCACTTGGGGTTGGTTGGGCCTTTTGTGGTGGCCTATGACTCATCGGAGGCATCGCTTCAGGACAGGCTCCAGACACGTGCCGTACATTAAACTGCGCAAACTGAACTTAAGCCTTTGCACTCAAAAAATTGAAATTTAGATAGGTTTTATTTTAAAACAAAAGAACAAAAAAGAAAGATCCACCAATTAGATAATTGAATTCAGAACTTAAAATGGAAATTACCCATTATTGCTCATAATAAATTATTGCTTTTATAAAAATGTATTGACTATAATAGCCTTTTTCTAACTATGTATGCATTCAATTGTTTGGTTTTTTTTGGAGGTTGTATCTACATACTCCTTAAAACGACAAGAGAACTTCAAACTTTATTATGTTTTGAGTGTATGGCACTCTCGAAATCGGTAAGTATTTATGCTGTGGGGTGTTATGAGGACTTATAGCAGGGTTGACGATGCTGTGACCCACAGTGCAGCGACACAAATGTCATCGCAGCTCGTTTGTCTTTTCAGCAGATTGGTTACTGCACTTTGAAAGCGTTTTGTTCCGCCGACAGACACACCAAATACAACACAATATGGTAAATGCATAACAGGCAGAATACTAATGTTGCGACTAAGCCATTACAAGGGCCATCTCTTCCGACGTCTGCGCTGCAGTTATGGCCCAGTCAGCCCAACCAGGCCAGCGGTTATTAACCCCTGATGGTGGTCTTGGTCTTCCCTCTCAAGTATTGTGTACTTGGTGTGGAGTGGCGATACTGCCGATGCGATGTACTACGCCCTCCACACACACTCTCTCACATCGGATATATCACTATTGGGGACTCGAGAATGGCATTGACGATGGCCCGTAAAGCCTCTAAGTTCAAATTGTGCCACACGGGCACAGCAGACTTGAAAAAAAAAAAGAGAGTAAGTCAGGGCGGTGCGGAAGGCATTTGTTATGGTGCTATGAGTATTCTCCATACAGCTGCGGTCAATGGGACAGAACCTCACGGCCGGTATGTGGGCTAAAGTGATTTATTCCACTGGTTGGTGTGTTAGTTTTCCTTTGACTATTTTTTGCATGGAAAACATACTAGGAAATTATGTCGCTAAAATATCTATTTACAACTTTACAAAATCACTCCCCTTGACTAGAAATTTTTTTTCTCCTGTAAACAGCTTATGTTGGTAACAATTTCAGTTTTACAATACATATTTATATGTTAAAATAAATGTAATAAAAGTAAGAGAGACTTTGTTGTATTGGGAGTAAATTTCAATCTTTATCAAGGGATAAAACTAATTTCTTAAAGTTCATAGTGGGCATTTCTCCGAGTGTATTTAACTCCCGTCATATTCCAAATATCGTTACCTATTAGCAAGTACAGCTTTTACCGCAACTGTGCGTCTGCATACTTTGTTATGGTAATGATTATTGGGGTGCATGACGAGTTGAGGATGGCTACATTTCATTAATTCAATTTCGACTGGAAGCCTGGTGTCCACCGAAGTTAGCGCGATATTGGATAAGTGAGCACTTTCCCCTTTGGTGGCACACAACCAAAACAAAAAGAGCCCCTCTGCCGAGTGCATGTGTTTGGATGCAATGAACTAGATTATCTCTTAACGTGGGCATACATACATATACATATGTACGAACGTGTATTTAATGCATACAAGTGGGTCTGTAGGTACATAATGCAATTAATGCAGTCGTATTTATATTGGGGAAAATGTGCAAAGCCAATTCTCTGTAGACATTTTGTAGGTCGCCTAGAGCTCTTTAATTTGTAAAAATACAAATGCACGAATGTTTTTATGCTTGCCTTAATTATATTCAGTGGCGTTCGTAAGCCGGCTGTCTATTAATTGCTTGTAATTTTGCATCAGTCACTCACACTTGCTGCACCAATTAAGCTCTCTAAAATGACTGCTAGGCCAACTATATAGTTAATTTAAATATGTATTTCGGTTAGACGTTGGACACCAACAAATGCGAGTTAGTGAGATGGTCTTCAACATGTTTTCAATCTTAATGGTTTTTAGGAGCACCATCCTTTAAAGCAAATCCATCTTTAAATTTTTGGGTTTACGATTTTTTAAGAAAACACACTTTTAAGATGACTTTTTTTCATTTTTATTAATTATTAAGTTAATATACCTATGTTTTTTAAAGATAAGTTTGAAAAACTAAGCTAACATATTCATATAATACAACAAATTGTTCGTAATTAAAAAAAAACTTATTTGCACGTAACACCATTTAAATGTTAAAATATCGAAATAATAGTAAATTAAGTGCTGACCCAATTGACAAATGATTATCAAATTAAACATCATATACCTTTTTGTTTTTGTAAGCTATGTTCCCTTTATAGCGCAAGCGGCGGGTTTTACTCATTTGAGGAGGCTTTTATGCCGGCTATAAAATCTTGACTTATCTTATCAGTCCTGGGGCCCATCCTCCAGATGTTGGAGCGTGGTCTGGTAGCTTCGGTACCATTGGGGGTATGGATGTTATTGACAAACGTGCGCCACTATCGCGAGCCAGTTGGATGAGCATGAACTTAGAAATCAAATCCTGACCCCAAGCAAGGCGCACATGTGCGCGCTCGATGTACAATGTACATAGAGGCACGGCTAAGTACGTCAATAAAATCAATTCCCCGCGGGCACATCCACATCCACATCCACATCTCCGCAGACATCGCGGTTGGTTATGCGATTGCCGGTTTGCAGAGTCCAACGACTTGGCTCTTCGTTTGTTATTAAATCGATAAAAGGCAGCGGCCCGCAAAGGAAGCAACAAGAAAAGCCTGTACCTGGACCCACCCATCGGCAATGGGTGTTCGGAGATGGAGATGGATATGTGTACATTGCACCTGATTAGCGGGTTGATAAATGCAATTGCACAAATATATCCACATTCAGGTGCCCCAATGTACATATGTACATAAATACGTTTTAGTGCACCTGCATGCACATATTGGGATCGAGAAATGCTGTCATTTGTTTGAACAAAACGCAATCGCGAATGCTGCCCACAGCGTTGGAGAAATTTTAAATTAACGGCCAAACATAAAAGTATACATATGTATACTAATGTGTGAGTCTAATAAAATTTGAAAATAGAACGAATAACTGAGAAAATACCCACGCATTGCGCACAAGTATACACACACACACACACCTACACTAGTCGGAAAAACAATTGCAATACAGAAAATTTAGGAAAATCAACTCGCTTTTCTTTTGCATTGGGAACAACCACGAATTCAATACGCACGGCTCTTTTTTAGGAAATTACCGTTAAATGGCTACAATCTCACGCGATTTGGCAGTTGAACGAATTTAATTTACACTCACGCACAAGTTCACTGTTTGAAAATCGAGAAACATTTAAATCTCGGTAGAGGTGGAGATACTTTCGATAGCTCCGCTGCTTTGCAACAGCGACTCAACAGAATTCTGTTAATATAACTTTAACAGAGCAATGAAACCCCTTTCTCTGTTAAAAACAGCGGCAGTTGTTTCTGGCGTTGCCAGTCTTAAATTGTAAGTCGTATTTATTCAAAAATTAAAAACATTATTATGTTTCATCTTTTAAATAAATAAATATTTTTCTCAAACCTTTTGTTTTAAGCCTAGCCTGGGTCTAAATCCATTATGTGATGGGGTGCTCACTATTTTAGGAAAGCCATCTATGATACAGTTTAGATTGCTTGTCCTTGTGACCTTTGACCGAAAATGGCTGAGTCCTTGAGTGTCCCGATTCCCCCAAAACTTGACCAGCACCTTTTTTCATATATTGCAGCGATCGAAATTTCTTCAATTTATTGTTACCTACGTTTATTTAAGTCATCCATTTGGCCTCTGGCCTTAACCCTATAACGATCCTTCCCCTGAAAGTCCTTTGTTGTTTAATACTTCTTACCGTTTCTTACCATACTAAAAAAACCATTCCGAAAAGTACTTGGAAAAATTATATTTAAATTGAAACTAAAAAACAAAATGTTGGTAGAATTTGTATATGAACTTTGTAACTTAATTGTTGTTGTGAAAAAAGTGTTCTAACTTAAACCTGTTGTGTTGCGCTAAACGCGAACCACAAAAGCTGCTGGGCAGCGTTAGCGGACGCATCTAAATCGCTTGATGTTGGTTACTTGCTGTGTGGACTTAAAGCTATTAGGTTTTTAGATTTTCCTGCTGCGCACAAGGGGCAAGGCCCGCCCCCGCCAGTGCACGCTGGCCCAACTGTGTAGATAAGAGATAATCGATTTTCGTATTGCCATAGCGATTCGCCGTATTCTCAACAGTTCGGCCGTAGTTCCAGCTAGCCGGGCGCCCTACGATACAAGACAACTGCTCTTCTCCTGGGGATTGCCGTTCTCGTTTTCGATCAGGATCAGTAGCTGATGGAATATATCTCCCACAGACTGTGAAAGAGTGTTTCTAAGAAGCTTTCACTTAATTGGAATGCACCTGGGACTTGCCTCGTTTTGTTTGGCGGACGTTTCGAGAAATGCTGCTCGCCAGGACTCGGCCAGCTTCTTGCCCTCCTCCGTGGAAACGGTTCGTTCCTGGTGCAGATCGGTCTTGTTTCCCACCAACACCACAGGTACACTGCAAGGCAAGGTAAATTAGCTGATCTGTCGTTTGGAGCCCAGGGATATGCCTACTATTTTTTGCCCATCACATCCAGCAGCTTCTCGTAGATAATCTGGATCACCTCAAACGATTTTTTGCTGGTTATCGAGTACACCAGGACGTAGCCGTGGTAGTCCATGCTGTATTGCACCGGGAATATGCTGTACTCGTCCTGGCCGGCCGTGTCGATGAGCTTCACGATGTAGTCCTGGGATTTGACGCGCTCGACCTTTGTGAATGCTGCGAATGTGAATTAGAGCAGATTACGTCTTGCATCTTACTCTTCCTGGCTCCTTAGAAGTTTTTGGAGGATGTGGAACTTACTATTCTCGATGGTGGGATCGTAGGAGTCCACGAACTGGCCTTCCACGAACTGTATGCACAGCGATGATTTGCCTGGAGGGGAATCGCAATTATTTTAAGGAATTGTTCGAAGTTGTTGGTGTTGTCAAAATACTACGCAATTACAAGTGCCAGCAGCAACAACATCTGCGTGATTTATTGGACTTTGTTGAAAAAACTCACCCACTGATCTGTAGCCCATCATGGCTATGTTGCGCTCCTTGGTTGGCATTTTTCTGGGGTTTAATGCTCTTAAATATGAGGGGAAAAGTCTTGGTTTTGGGGCTTTTCCAAACGTTTTTTTTTTTTTTGTAGTTGTCGCAACTACGACTTTGTGTGTGCCTGTGTAGGTGTGTTCCTGTGCGCCCGCGACTGTGTGTGGGGAATTATTGCTTCTTCGTTCACTTCGCTTGCTGGGGATACTTGTTGCTATCACAGCTGGGGGTTTTTCGACGATTTTTAATTCAATTATTATGTGGAAAACCGTCGAAAAGAAAACAGCTATTCTCGCGTTGAGTCAGTGCTGGTGTGGGCGTGGTGGCGGCGACGCCGAAATACCACTCCTTAGGCGGGCAATAACGGGCAATTATCCGCTTTCTTGATATGGTCATACCGCGCATTGCCCAACAAGTGTAACGGTTTATTTAATGGAAAAAAATCGATTGCTATTATATGATAGATTTGAATTATTATTTCCAAGTTGTTTATTAAAACGCATTCGTTTTTGTATATTTTACCCTGATTTTAATACTGGTGTACCCTTAATCTTTTTAAGGAACTGTGTGGAAAGAGGGCATAATGGAAGAAAAAGCCGATGAAGCGGAATATGGTCGCTAAAGCAGACACGCCGCCGGTGTGAATAGGACTTTAGCTAGGTACAATCGATAGTTGCAACAAACAATCGATGCTCAAGAAATTGGAAATGTAATCGGTTGGTTAATAGTGCCATCACCTTCGCTGCAGCGTTTTTCGTGAAAATTTGTTTTGATTTGAGAACATTTGAGTAATTGTAGATCCGAGCCCTTTCCAAATGGGTTCAAAGCGCCGCAACATCGAGGACGAGTTGTCCAGGTTCGAGGCGGAGATCTCCAAGCCGCCCGCCCGAAATCTGTTCGTGCCCAACCAGGTCCGGCCGATTATCGCCGCCAACACGTACCACAACGTGCAGCATAAGTTGCAGCACCACCAGGGGAATGGAGGATCTCGCCTGACCGTGCCTCCGCCCCCTATCCCGCCGCCACCCACCTTCATGTCCACCTTCGTGCCCACGGGCAACGGCGGCAGCTCCTCCTCCAGCGCCAACAAGCCGATCTCCGCCACGCCCGTGGTCCTGAGCAGCGCCCCCAAGCTGTACCAGTGCCGGCAGTCAGTGCACGTGCCCACCGTAGCCGCAGCACCCTCCATCGACATCAACGCCGTCTCCTTCGACGTGACGCAAAAGCTGAAGAAGCTCAAGGCCGAAAAGTCCGGACCGAATCCCATCGCAGAGGAGGCCATCAAGGCGGCGCGCGCCTCCTCAGCGCTGCAGTCATTCCAGACGACAGAGCGCAAAAAGAAAGACCGCAAGACGGTGCGAATCGCCGGTGGCAGCGTGTGGGAGGATTCTTCGCTGGCCGACTGGCCTGACGATGACTTCCGTATCTTCTGCGGTGACCTGGGAAACGACGTCAACGACGAGGTGCTGACCCGAACCTTCAACAAGTTCCCCTCGTTCCAGCGGGCCCGTGTGGTGCGCGACAAGCGAACGGGCAAGAGCAAGGGATTCGGCTTCGTCAGCTTCCGGGAGCCGGCCGACTTCATACGGGCCATGAAGGAGATGGACGGACGCTATGTGGGCAGTCGACCCATCAAGCTGCGCAAGAGCACCTGGCGACAGCGAAGCCTGGATGTGGTCAAGAAAAAGGAGCGCGAGAAACAGGTTCTGCTGCAGGCATTCAACTCCATGAACTGAATCTGCGCCTGCATACCCTGTCCTTTAGGCTAGTTTCGGTCACTTTGAAGTAGCAAATTAGTTTTGGGTGTTGCTGCCAAAGATGAGCAATAAATTTACGTTTAGCAATTGACGCGTTTTGTTTTTATTGGATTAACTACCAACTAACCCTACCCATTACGAGGTAACCCACCAGCACACTTGTAAATTTGAAATACGGCGACGGCTTGATAATTTAAGAGGAGTTTACACGGGAAAGCAATAATTGACTATAAATTACTTAAAGCTTTTAGTACCATTTGGATTGTTCCTTGCCAGCGATCAGTGGCCTCCGCACTGGATCGCCCTCGGCCCCTTCATCACGGCTCTCACTGTCCTCGTTGCCTCTTAGCCGCTGGTATTGGCTTACCCCACTCCTGGGCCACCGGACTAGCGGTTTGCCGGCATCCGGGCCAAAGATGGAGGGATAATATTGCCTGTAGCTTATGTAGCCCGCAAACAGGCCAATCAGGCCGCCGATCGTCACATCCTGCCAGTGGTGGTGGTAGTCGCAGGTGCGACTGACTGCCACCAGCAGAGCGATCACCAAGGGAATCACAGCGATGCAGAGCCGCCAGGTATGGCCACGTCCCCGGATGTCGAAGGCGTGCAGCTTGGCGCCCACATAGTAGGCGATGAAACCGAAACTAGCAAAGGCAACTGAAACGGTGGATTAAAACTGTAAGCTGGGCTTTCGAAGACCAATGTTCTGCATCAACTCACACGATGAGTGCCCGCTGGGGAAGCTCTTGCGGCCCTCATTTATAACCCCCGGAAGCCCAGTGCAGTTGAAGTCCAAGATGGAGGTGCCCAGACTGTTCGAAGTCGAATTGAGGACCATCACGCCGTCGGGAAAGCAACGGTAGAAGTAGTCTGGCCTGGGACGCCCCACTGTTATCTTCAGCACGCTCGTCGGTATGCCGTTCATGCACAGAGCAAGTGTCCAGGCCCAGCTGGCTGCTCTGAAGTCCCGCCTGTCCTTGGTAAACCAGTAGAAGGCGACTGTGACTAGGAAGGGGGCTACTATCACCCAAAAGAGCAGCTCTCCGCCCTTGATGATGTCCGGTCTCCTGGGATTTTTGTACAGCCAAAGCTCCTCCTCGTGGATTTCCCTCTTAAAAGCTGTCATCGTCTCCAGCTTGCTGCAGACATGAGTCATGAATGAGACATTGACTTCGTCAGCAGTAGGGATTTGTCACAAGCAACTCACAAGAAGACCATGACGAGGAGAACGCGAAGTACCACATCAACTGCATCGCTTAACCTCCTGTTGGAGTGTCCGGAGCCAGGACTGTGATCCTCCTGCTTTCCGGGCTGAGCAGAGCTGCTGTTCGGATTCAGGGAAAGCTCGTTGCGCCACATTCCTTCGCCGTTGGTCTTCGATCCTGTACGCCCAACGTCCTCCGCGGAACTCTCGCTAAGGGTTCGTCTGCTGGACGTGGATTCTTGACCTTCCTTGCCCGACGTCATTTCGTTAGCCCGCTGGGAATATTCGGTTGTCAGCTTATGTATGGTGCTTGTCGCCTGAATAATTGAAGAGATAGGTAAACGCCGGGTCATTAATCTTTGCACTTATGTGAGGGATAAACATAAGAGGTCTATAACTACGCCAGTTGATAGCCGAAATAAATATTGTGTCTTTTCCGTGAATGAGTTTAGATTCTGATGGTTTTTAGAGAGAAAGCATACGTTTTAGACAGTATACCGTTAACGGCCGTGCCAAAAACCAGAACTCATAGTGTGGCGATGGAGAGAGCAAGGTGTAACACCTTAGATTTCCACGATAAGATACATACACAGAAAAATATAGTTGATCTCGAAATCCTACTCATTTTCCAAACACATTTTAAATTTGTTGTATAATTTGAATATGAACAAAAACTTTCTTTACCTAGAATGTCATAATTTAAATATTTATGTCATAGCTAACCATAAGCTCAACATTATCAGACTAGGAAAATATGCGACCTCATCTTTATATTTGACATTATTAGTCCATCAATTGGAAATGATAGTAGAAGGTAACAAATTACAAATTGATCTCCCCATAACATTTGTTTTTCTTTCAGTGCACACTTGGCCACGCTTTGCGTCAATGTTTGTCATCAAACGCGGTTACGTCGTATGGCAGATATGGCTATAGTGCAGATACATATGCACACACGTTGGTTTTAATAAGCCAGCCGTCGTAAACAATATTGGCTAGATGGCGCACCTGCTCCTTGTCAATACTTCCGGTATTGCCGTTGCGGTCTATTGGATTTTCGCGGCGGCGGCTACGTAAGTCCGCTGTATTACTATAGCTATCGGGCATTATCACCCGATGATCCCCTGGGATATTTGTGTTGACTTTGGAACTGTTTGCACTTGGCGCACTGACTGGTGGCATCAACTTTTTGCTCTCGACGTGTTTTCGACTTGACTGCTTTTCGACTGCTGCTTAATGCTAATTGCAGGGCTCTTTATAAACTTTCTCTAATCTCGCGACAGCATCGTAAAACAAACAGCGAACTAGCCCCCCCCCCCCCTTTTCCCTACCACTAGAAAACAACAACAGCTGTTTGCCCTTTTGGTTAGTCGGATTCAACGAGAGTTTGCCGTTTGGCAAGTTTACCTGTTAATTAACCATGTTCGTGGCGGCAACAATTACAACTCATTGCATTCAAAACGTGTCCACGCGACAAAAATACACATCTTTCTGCCGTTTCGTTTCGGTTGTTAATTTGCAGAATTTGACCAGCGATAACGATTGCTAACGGCAGGACTGCCAACTCGGCGCAAATCAGTAGTATAACAGGGTTGTTGGTGAAATCATATGATTGAAAAACCTCGGTCGTCGCGAGAGATAAATAAATAAAGTTATTTCTTTTAGTCAAAATGACCGTCGGAATAAGTGAAAAAGAGGCCGCTGGCCAGCTGCTGGATAACCTGTACCTGGACATGTTCCACCTGGTCGAAGAGCACACCCAGTGCCGCGTTAACCTGGAACGGAGCAACGCGAGCGGTGCGATTCTCCTGGCTCGCACTAGATTCCAGCACGGAGGCAGCAACTCCGTGTCCACGGCTCAGATTCCCACTGAGAACAGTGCCGAGTTCAACGCCCTCTGCAGAGTTGTGGACTCCGAAGATGGCATCTGCGTCGAGAGGCAGGCGGTGGATAAATCCAAGGGCTATGTGGAGCCCCTGCACTGGTTCTCGTGAGTACTGATAACGCTTAAATGGGTCATTGTGATAAATGTGTCTTTTTTTTTAGGGTTCTGCCGCCCATGAGCTTGCGCCATGCCGTCTCCAAGTTTAAGGATTGCATCGAGCTGGTGGCGGAGAGCACAAATCTGCAGCGGCAGCTCGGAGAAACTTTGAATTGGATCGCTAAATTGCGTCAGATTTCTCTGCTAAACTAGATATTAAAAACCCACACGAAATCCATACTATATTAAGAATAAAGTACAACTGAAACCATAATTAAAACACAAAGTGATGAAGCACCCAGTGGCGTGGTCACACTTCAGGACTGGACTTACTGGAAATGTCTCGTTTGCTGTAACCAAAATATTCAAGACACTCATGCGATCCAACATTTAATATAAACCTTTACCTTTCTTCCGTAAATAAAAGTTGTACGACAAAAAAGTAAAAACCATAAAAATAAGTTACGTATATACAGTATTCAAACATATAATCGGAAAAGTAAAAAGTTTAAAACGTATTCTCATTTTTATCAATTTTTATTTGCTAATATACATTGTTTTAAGTATGCAGCTTGAAATATCTGATTGTCGAGGCAAGTCAAGTTGGTTCCTTAAGAATAAAAATTGATTTGAAATATTTTTCTTATGACTGATAGTTTAAATAATTCAATTTAAAGCGCCAGCTCAAAATTTTAAATTTTATAATTATTTTTTTGGATCGCAATTAGTATAACTGTAACTTGTAACTGTTCTTCAATTCTGGCACACTATTTTCATAGTTTTTTATTTTGTAAAAATTTTATTTATTTTATTTTGGATATATTATCATTTTGATGATTTGCGTTTTAGAGTGTTCATTCTTAGAATTTAATTTAGTTTTTTTTAACCAATTTTGGTAAATGTCTTAAACTCTAGCATAACTGTGTTTGTGGTAAATTTACTTCAATTCAAAACTTTAATTCCGAAATAAACAAATATTTTTATGAAATTCGGGTACCATGGGGTTAAGGTTTTCTGTGCTCTCACGTCCGGCGCTGCCACTTGGGGAGAGCAGAACTCGCAAGTGGGCAGCCCCGCGGATTCTATTCGTCAGCTGTTTGGATTGTCAACCATTTTTCGCTTCGTGTTCTTGGCGAAAATTAAAGTCGAACGCGTAATTCGCTTATTATTTTTAAGGAGTGCATGGTGAGTCCTAATTTCGGGGGTTTTTGATCCCCCAAGGTGCCCGGAAATGTGTACTCTTTAGAAAACATATTGAACATTGGCAGAAGTAAATGATTAAATACAAAAATCGATAATTGCCAAACGAAATATAAGTATAAAATTGAAGCAATTAACAAGTAATGTAATCAAATTTCAGCCCGAATAATAGAAGCATATTGTGCGCGAGCATGCAAGCGGAGATAGAGTGGAGGAGTAGATAACAGAAAGCAAAGTGACGCTCGAAAAGTGACAGATAGAAGCGCTAGAAGAAGCTGGAGCACAACGCGGACCTTTGTTGTTGTGACTGCTACGGATCTGGGGGAAAGGCACCTTCCACGCCCTCCAAGAACACACCCAAACACACACGTGCCTGCTGCCCACTTTGGTCATGAGCGGCGCACGGGATCAGGCGGATCCCCCGCTGCTGCAGCTCGAGGACGAGGAGGACCTCATCGGGGACTTTGTCAAGAGCCAAACGCCGCCCAGCAGCCAGCTGGCTCCGCTCCTGAATGGCTTCGAGTCGACAAGCAACCAGTTGACTACAAAAGTAGAGGTGGGTGCCCTCAGCTTATAACCACAGTTCTTTGTAATATGACGTGTGCTCTTTACCTAGATCAACACTATTGGCTTGGGCAAACGGAAGACCAAAAGGCGAGGCAGGAAGGAGCGGGAACCCATGCTACTGTCTGTTAACGATGACGAGGACGAAGCGGAGGTGCCAGAGGAGAGGAACCACACAAACGGCCTGCCTTCGGGCGAGGAGAGTGCCGGGGGTGATGCCGTGCTTCAGAAACCGCATGTCAATAAGTTGGTCGTGCTCCACGACGACCTCACCGACGACGGCGACGACGAAGATGGCGAGGAGGAAGTGCTGCTGAAGAGGAGCTCCAACCTGCGCAACCAGAGATTCAAAGGTCGCGCTGATGAGAGCACCGAAGGCAACAGCCAGCAGACACAGATCATTAGTCACATCGCACCCCCGAAAGCAGCCACATCTGCACCGACAGCGGCATCTCCGTTGAAAACCACTGCGCACATTGCCCTCGCCCGTCATCCGCATGACGAGGCCGACGACATCTGCCTGGTGCCAGAAATCGACTTCGAGGGCATGTCCACGGACGCGGGCAGCGACAACCGGGAGTCGCAGCCGCTCCTGGGTGGCGGCAGTGTCAGCCACGGAAGCCGCATCAGCGATCTTCTGGGTGGACTTGGACGCGGGCACGATCATTTGGACTTTGTTTCAAACACATTTGGCGGTGAGTGTGCATCAGACTCACGAAGTCGTACAAGTGACCATATGTGCTATGGCTTCAAACTCTGGGTTCCCCATCCCTTCCTAGCCATGTGTGCTGTGCACTCAAACTAGATTACTCCTCTGTTAGCTTTGAGGCCTTACTAATGTTGTGCTTATCGCTTTTACGGCCCCCATATTCCGAATAATAGTAGAGCTAATTTGAATTTGCATAATTGCACTATAAAAAATCCTCCATATTTTCTTTTGTTCAATTAATGCGGGGGAGAAAAATGTTGGTAAATTCAATACATACCTTACCACCAAAGCTTATTTGAGCTAAGTTCATTTTTGTAGGCTGTAGAATTACAGAAAAGCTAAACATTTAAAAAAAAAAATATTGATTGGGAGCTGTAAGAAGCCATTTGGATTGGTTTTTAATTGAAAATGTTGGAAACTACCATAATTTCTATATCAAAAGATTTTAAATCTTTTTATTTTATTTTTTAATTGAAAAGCAATCTCCTATTTTCAAATATTTGTTAGAATTAAAAAATTAGAAACTTGCCAATACCTTAACTTTAAATTTACCCTGCATCAGCAATATATTCAATTCCAAAATTTTCTCACAGTGTTTAAGTAGTTAATAGTACATTTATTTCAAAATAAAATAATAAAACTAGATTGCTTTTTTTTATAAGCCCTTCAAGTTACTAGTTTTAAATCAGTAATACTATAAAAAAAAAAACAATTTCAATTGTTTTAAAATTATAAATATATAAATTTGTATTTATAATTTTTTGTATAATTTTTCTTTACCTTAAAGGTTTTTTTAACAATTAATGTGAATATATCCCTTTTACTGCAATCTTACTGGAGGTACGACTATATCCTATAGCTCGTATAAAAATATGAGCCATGCTTGCAAAATGAAAAAAAATATATTTTTTCTCAAGCAAGTTTTAAAACAAGAAAGCTATAAGAAAAATTTAATGTTTTTTAAAATAACTATTTATTGATTTTTATGAGTATATACTTAAAAACAATAAAGTTATGTCGATGGCCGATTTTCCAATTAAAATTTCAATCGTTTTTGTGGCATCTACTTAATATATCTCATTGATTTTTATAAAGTTAAAAATGTATTTTAATTTTAATCTCGTGTTATTTGCGTATATAATGATGTATTGAAACTCGACTGTTTGTTAAAATAAGTATTGACCCGATTTTGAATCATACTTGGTGACCTGTGTGACTAATTCGATTCGCACTACTGCATTTCATCATGAGATGAGTAATAGCTTTTCTCGTTCCATAGTATTTTAAAACGTCGCTTGTTAAGAAATTATTATAATTCTTTATTTTATAATTTTCCTTAAACGAGCGTGTTAATATTAATAGAGACGTGCATATCATAAGTGAAATATGTGCCCACACAGCAGAGCTCGTCCGCTGGAGCTCGCCATTGGTGTCAACCTAATCGTCATTGCCCCAGCTTTCAAAATATTCTGTATAGTTGTGCTGTTTCTATTAGTCCCAGTCTCTTTCGATCTAAAACCAAAAAATTTAGTGTTGTAAATGTTTGTGCACTTGGATGTAATCGTGGTCTCTTGTTGTTCTCGTTTTAAGTCACTTAAGGTGCATTTTCAAAATTTCAAGGCAGGCGTTTTTAAAGATGGAACTTGATCTGTGGGCAACTGTCGCCAATTGGACATAGCACCATGGCTAAGGTCAACATTCAGATTTCTAGAGATAGCAAGGAGCCAATAGCTGGCGAAAATTCTACCAAATCAAATAACGATGAGCTGCCCACGACGAGCAAGGATGCGCAGGCGAGTAGGTCCTCGATGGCTTCCTCCACCGTGTCCTACGCCTGCATTTGCTGCGAGGGCAAGTGCCCGCTGGACAAGGACTACCTCGAGACCCAGTCGGAGTTGGAGGGCGATCCTCCCATCCTGGTCAACTCACCGTCGATGGCCCGTGATTCCAATGACACAGTCACCGTCAAGATTGTGGCACCGCGCTGCAATTGCGCCAACTGCCCGCTGAAGAACATCTGTAAGTGTGTGTTGGCGTTGGCCCTTATCGAAACGCTTTGGCTATGCTAATTGTGACCTGCTTCCCTTTATCAACGGCCAACCGAGTTGACGACTCTTGACTTCCCAGCCCATTCAATTCGATTGTGTCTCCATGTCGCGCTTGTCGAGCAGCAGTCGCGAAAACTTTATCCAGCAAGTGTTCACCATTTGTCAGGACTCGCAGGGCGATTTTAATGACAATTTCGACTTCATAGGTAACGTGAAGTAACCTCCCTTCCTCCCTTCCTCCTTTCCATTTGTTGTCTTTCGTGTGTGGGCTCGTTAAAGTTAATTTTACCTCACAGCTGGCGAGGCATTGTCGACTCATTAAAGGCATTTACTCGGCGGTTGGGGTATTAATAAATAATTGAGAGTACAATTCCAAAGCAAAATCGACCAATTTGGATGAGAAACTCGCAGTCTGTCTTTGTACTTTGCTTAGGGCTAAGGCATGCGAATCTTCTTCCTTCGCACGAACTTCATTAGTAATTTTAAGCTTTAGCCCGCACGTTTAAAAATATATTTTTAACTACGTATTTCTTTGGTTCTTTCAGATGATCCGCTTTTCTCAGAGATTGTGGCGAAGGCGGAGGGAGCCATCGAGCATGGTGTGCTGCCGGAGCGCATTTACCAGGGTAGCAGTGGTTCCTATTTCGTCAAGGATGCCTCCCATGTGAGTACAAACCGCGGGCGGACATCATCTAGCTTTTCTTGCGCATGGTAGTAGTTTGGTCTAAAAATTGAAGACCCAACCCTTCATTTATTTGTACCAATACGCGCAAAGATAAACATGTCAGGAAATCGGGGAAGCCCTGCAATTATGCTGTTTTTGCTGAGCTTTTGGTTTATCCTGAAACAGTCTATTATGCTTAAAATGGTCAATCGGTTCCACAAGATCCAACAATAAGTAATTATATCTCTCCGTTTAGCAATGCCTTGCTGTCTTCAAGCCAAAGGATGAGGAACCCTATGGCAGACTGAATCCAAAGTGGACCAAATGGATGCACAAGCTGTGCTGCCCCTGTTGTTTCGGCCGTGCTTGTTTGATTCCCAATCAGGGGTAAGTCTATACTGCTTTTCAATAAATCTTGTGTATAACAAACACAAAACTCAAAAATCAAAAACAACTTAATTTAATAAGAAAATTAAATGTTACCGGTTTAAAAAGTCTAACTCGTAATCTAGGCGTTTTTAAAATAGTTAAAGAAAACAGAAAACTTAAAAAAGATATTGGAATTTTACAGTCGAATGATATATATGACATGATACTGCTTTGTAGCCCTATACATCCTTGAACAGCTTATGCTTAATTTATTTAATAGCACATTAAAATACAAATATTTAAAGTACCTAATAAGTGAGGTTCATCAAGACCATAAATTTGTAACCTTTCTTATTTGAATAGTCCGAACATATTCGAAATATTTAAAGTATCACATTGATTTAGCTTAGGTACACCATTTGGCTATAATTTTGATTCATTAATTAAATTTACTTTGTCAATATTATTCAGGTACCTTTCCGAATCAGGTGCAAGCTTAGTTGATCGCAAGCTCAATCTAAATGTGGTTCCGAAGACGCGTGTGGTCAGACTGGTGGCCGAGAGCTTCAACTATGCCCGCATCGATCGCCAGAAGGCCAAGCTGAAGAAGCGCATCAAGGAGCATTACCCATCGGCCCACTTCAACCGCATGAGCCTTCCTCTAAAGGTAAACACAAGCTAGGAAAGTAGATCAATTGGTGTTTAACGTATACGGTATTCCTTGCAGACTGGCTCCTTCCAGCTCTTCGTGGAGGGATACAAGGATGCGGACTACTGGTTGCGTCGCTTCGAAAGCGAACCCTTGCCGCCGTCGGTGGCCAAGTCCTTTCAGGTGCAGTTCGAACGCCTCGTTGTCCTGGATTACATCATTCGCAACACGGACCGGGGCAACGATAACTGGCTGATAAAGTACGTCGCTCCCAAGATCACGGGCCAGGTGGGCGGCACCGGTGGCCGGACCATGCACGGTGTAGTGCGTCCCAAGATGCCCGGTGCCATGGCAGCTTCGGAAATCGTTGACCTAAACGATGGTGTCCCAAGAAGCCATCCAGCGGGAGAAGCAGCCACCAATGGGCAGCATGACAGCAGTAGCCTGGCCAGCAGCGAGGATGAGCCCTCCTCAAGATCGCCAGCCTCGGAGCGCGATTGGAACGTGGTAAACTCGGCCTTCATCCGGATCGCAGCCATCGACAATGGGCTGGCCTTTCCCTTCAAGCACCCGGACTCGTGGCGAGCCTATCCCTACCATTGGGCATGGTTGCCGCAGGCGAAGATTCCATTTAGCGACGAAATCAAGGATCACGTGCTGCCCCAGTTGTCAGACATGAACTTTGTAGAGGAGATTTGCACGGAGCTGTTGTACCTGTTCCAGCAGGATCGTGGCTTTGACAAGCGTCTGTTTGAACGACAGATGTCTGTGATGCGCGGCCAAATCCTCAATCTCACCCAGGCACTGAGGGATGGCAAGTCGCCGGTGCAATTGGTTCAAATGCCAGCCGTAATTGTGGAGCGGTGAGTATTCGTGGTTTTACAATTTATGTGTTGAAAAGTTTAGATAGAGTCTCTTGATTAAATTTTTAATAAGAGTAAATTTAATGAGTTTTTGGCATTCTAAAAAATGCAGTCATAAAATCCAGTCTCCCTACAACTAAATAATACAAAAAAAAACATTTTCCCTTATCTTAGCTCGACAAAAAAGAACAGGGGGAATATTTAAACGAAAGCAATCCGTTTAGTCATTTTAACTCTTATTATTCTTTACAGATCCAGCGGCAGCCGTTTCTTTTCGTTTACGCAGCGCTTCCAAAACAAGAGTCCTTTCTTCTCTTGGTGGTAAAATTACCTAGCTTATAGTATAGTGCCATTAGTCACTAACCTTTGTCCATTTTCAGCTAAAAGGCCATGGAGGAACCCCTGCTTACCCCACCAAAAACCAAATCGTGCAGTCCGGTCCTGCAGCCTCATCACCATCATGTAAATGCGCTTCGTTGTTGTCTAGTATATTTCTAAATCGTAATCAGTTGCTGTCGGCGAAGAGCCCAGAAACGTATTTTGTTGTATATTTTAGTTTTCATTTGGCCAAAACACCCATAATGTTATATGGAATAATTTAATAATGCTTTTGTGGTTTTGCTTACACCTACCATTTACCATCTAGAAAATATCTTTTGTTTGTCATGTGTTTGTATAATCAATTGTTTATGCATAATATAAGATGAAATCGAAATATCCTTAAGAATTCAGTGCGGTTTAAAAAAAAAGAAGAAAAACGCTCAATCGGTTTATACTTTAAATTTCTTTATCATTTAACTAATACACATAGCATATCAGTGAAGTAATCAAAACTCATTTACATTCGTTAGCACTCGGAGCATCATTGAATTAGATCGCCTTACTCATATATGGATGCCCCATTCTCTATAAAAACTATCATTTAATTTATTGATAATGTACGGAGCATCCTGCTCCCCAAAACTTGTTCAGTTTGTGGAGAAAGGCATCCAAAAGATGTTAAAAATTATAAGTCAAGAAAAATACATATATATATACAGTATATATAAAATTGTTTGTATGTCGAAGGCAAGCCTTATATTCACATCAAATCATCTTATAATTACAGCCGAACAGAAAACGTATACATCTCTATCTTATTACTTAATAACAATAACTTTTAGCAGGCACACTTAATTCATAAGAGCTATTCACATTGTACATTCGATGATGGATTATTTTGGAATCCTTATAAGAGCCAATCGTCGGTAGCATCGGACGTCAGTCTACTTACCAAGACTGCCCCACATGTGCTGCCATCGTCCTTATTTTGCTCCTGGCTGTCAGGGATGACGATGGTGCAAGGGCCGCCAGAATCCTTCGATATCCCAGGATTATCTTTGGATTCTTCTGCTTCCGTGGGTGGAGCATATGGTTGGGTAACAGGGCACGAGTCTGGTGGCATGGATTCGTTTTTAATGACTATATCAATATCATAAGACATTTCTGGTTCTAGGGTCTCGTTCCAAGTGATTATTTCAGTTTCAGGACACGTGTCTGGTCCCAGGGGTTCGTTTTTAACGAGTATTTCCGATTTCTTTTCTGAGGTGCTGGATAAAATGGTTATATGATCCGCTGGCACAGCGGTTTGCCAGTCATCCTCTCCTCCATCTCCCTTACCATTGGAAGCCTTTTCATCCGCTGGGCTTACGGACATGGCAGTCGCTGCAGTCATTTTTGGAACAATGCGTTTTGGCGTGGCTAGAAAAGAGGATATCGATGGCTGGTACCCTGTACTTAGCATAGAGGATCGGCCTTCGTACTTGTACCATTCGGTAGGCACATCGCCAGTAACAAAGAGATCACGACCCACGGGAACTGTGCTTAGGACTCGCTTGGGCTTGAGGAAGCGAACAAACCGCTCCAACTCCTTGTAGCTAGAGTGTTCCGAGTACTCAATGCCAATCGTGCTGATTCGCTTACCATACGAGGGCTTGCTGTTCTTCTCCCAGCCGCTAGGTCTTATGCCCAACAACATGTCGTATTGGTCCTCGAATTGACTCAAATACTCAACTAGACTCTGAAAATAAATACAAACGATTATATTAGTATTGCGATTTTCATAATTTTCTTAAAAATGTATTGAGATATTGCAGAAACCTACCGGATAGCTAATTTTCCCCATTGGAAGAATGTGTAAGTTTGCTGAGCGGGGATCATCTGTTAGTACGGACTCCAGATCCAACCAATTCATGCACTTTATTGCCTTGCTGCGATTTTCCTCTGTCCAGACTCTCAGGTTGAACTCCTTCGCCAGGGCCAGCCAGATTTTCTCCTTCCCTATCACATAGGAGCCGCAGACGAAGAGGATTCGCTTGGCCAAATTTTTCTCCTTGAAGTCCCGCACCAACTCTATCGCTCGATCGACGCTCTCTGTCTGGTGGCAAAAGTCGTAGTTCTTGTTCATGTAGGTTGTGTCCAGATAGAGCAGGTCGATGTTGGTGTGGTTCCAGAAGATCGGCCAGGATTCCATTTCGGCGCAGGCCCGAAAGTCTCCAGTGTGCAGAATATTTTTGCCAGAGGGTAGTTGGAAGAAAAACAAGAGGGCTCCAGGACAGCTAAAAAGGGTAAACAGAATGTTTAGTGAACTACAAGCCTGAGCAAGTGATTCCCTTACTGGTTGGCTTCCAATGCGGTCACCTGAACGCCATCCACCATAAGCGTCTGGTCCACTTCAATCTCGTTGATGCACATTTCGTCCACTTTTATAAAGGTTCGCACCAGGCGAGCCGTAGTGGGACTCATGTATAGGGGATAGCAGAAGTTTTTGGTCAGCCCAATGTAGTGATCCGCATGGTAGTGGGTTAGGAAATAATGTGAGACTCCGTCTATATCTCCGAACTGAAAGCCGTCGACGCAGAAGGATGTCCCCTCTACAATTTTATAAGGCGGGCACGGCTTTGGCGTCTTTTGTTTTCGTCCAGCTCCTTTTTTTGAATTTTTGGGCAGGGAGCTGTCCCTTGGGATTGCAGCCATTGATGGGTCAGGAGAGGTCTTTACTGAAATTCTTTTGTTGCCTGGAGAGGTCTTCGCTGAGGGTCTTTTGGTGCCTGGAGAGGTCTTCACTACGGCTGAACTGCTGGGCCTCTTTGAACTGCGGAGCTTTGGTGCTGGTATGGAATTCCTGACTGGACTGGAGTAGGCTTCCGCCGGGGGCTCCGCCTTGATGGTCTTGTCGCCCTCGTCCTCGGAGCACAGGTCAATCACATCCAGTTCTTCAGGGAGGTTCGTGTTCTCCTTGCCCTTCGCACGTCGGCCAGGCTGCACTCGCTTCTCCGGCGGCTTGCGACCCAGCGTGTCCGTGGACGTAGTGGATGTGGTGGTGGACTCGTCAAACAGGCGTTTGCGTCCCCTCGAGGTGACCTTCCGCTTGGCCGCTGGTGCATCCATAGCCTTAGCGGATGAGCGTGGCACGGGAACCATGTTGACTTTGTAGCTCTTGGCGGCGCTTTTGAAGAAGGAATCGATGCGCAATTGGCCTGGCAAGGGCGTCTTCTTGTTTGAGCGCTTGATCGCAGTGCTGGCTACGATTACACCACCGTTCGGCTCCGATTTCGCCTGAACTTTCTTTGTTGTAGTAGCCGCACGGGTTTTTCCCGCTCTTTTTTTCTCTGGCGTTCTGTCTTCTGTTATTGGTGGAGGTTCCGGTTCCACATTTATGCCCGTGGTGGCCTGCAGTTCCGCGAATGTTTTTATCTTTATTTTTCCAATATTGGACATCTTGTTTACATATAACTTCGACGAAACGCAAAGCGGATCAGAAGGACTGTTCTAGTGTTGGCAAACTACAAATTATTCTACGACTAATGTAAGGTCCCACTCAACAATGCAAGATCGAGCGCGATATTCAAACCAGAAAATCTATAATGCTTCGTTTACACAAGGATTACTTATCTCGCAGCAAAGGCTGTCTTGAAGAGTTTTTACTTTTAAGAGGATTTTCTGGTCTAGGAGAAAAACGTTTGGGCCACGTCACAATATCGGCAGTCTCCTAAAAAAAATCGAATTTTTAAGAATTCTTTAAAGATCATATTTTTCAAAATCTAAACATTCAAAATATGAAAAGCAAAAATTGATTTTTTTAACATTTTTAGACTAGAATACATCCATAAACGGGGTAACTTTTATACTCATATGATTTTAACAAGTAAAATGCCCATTCTAACAAGAAACTTCGCTTGCATGTGATCAAATTAAAATCGTGGTCCTCCCCCCTTGGCTTGCCAGCTGTTCTTTTTGTTTGCTTTTGTAAAGTATTGTACAAAAAAACTGACCTCTGAACGCAGTAATGCAGTCCAAGTCCAAGCAGGGCCTCATGGGACAATTTAAATAACAAATTTGAAACAAAGAAATTTAAAACAGAAATCGAATGTACTTCCTACTTCCGCAGACCAGTGTGAAAGGGTTTGTTCTCAAATCCATGCAAACAGTATTTTAATCGATGTCTGTTGTATCGTTGCCAATGTGATCGGTATCGACGTTCTTCCATCGCTGCGGTGCAGTGTTGAAGCAAAAACAAAACAAAATCAAAACGTTGGAAAAAAAGCAATTTATTTTGGAAATTATTAAGGTGGGCCTGTTCGTTCGCGCCTTCAGCATGGCGTGGCGTTCCGTGGGAGCCAATAATGAAGACCTGATTCGTCAACTGAAGGGTGAGCCGTTCTACCTGCTTTGTCCAACGGGAAGATGCATATAATAATAGAACCGAAACCCCAAAGAGCACGGCGTCATAGCCAGTGATGCAGTGGCCAAGGCGATGACAGAGACCGACCGAAAGCACTACTCTCCGCGGAACCCCTACATGGACGCCCCACAACCCATCGGAGGAGGTGTCACCATCAGTGCACCTCATATGGTAACTTCCAATGGGAACAATAGTACACACGATTAAACACAATTAAAGAATATCTTTGACATCAATAATGAAAAGTACTCAAAACGGCAGTGACAGAAATCTCTAAGTATTGAAAATCCCTTTTAAATGGATCCATAGTATATTCAAAAATCAAAGAATTCAGCAGTCGTACATCATTCTTTTAGACATCTTTTTAAGTATTGCAAATCTGTAGAGCAGGGGTGCTCTAGATGTCATAGATTTTACCCATGACGATGTAATGTTTTAATTCATTGAATTCGATTCCCCATTTAATGTAATCTTATTAGGTAATTTTATAACCTTGCAGGTGTTCTAACACTAAAATCGAGTTTCACAAGAAGGTTAAACCAGATCCGCTGTTTGTGATACTGGGTTGTTTAGAAAACCAGGCTCACCTGCTTATTAACTTCTTTCTCTTAAATGACACAGCACGCCTTCGCTTTGGAGTATCTGCGCGAATACCTAAAACCCGGTGCACATGTGCTGGATGTGGGCTCTGGATCTGGGTACCTCACGGCCTGCTTCTATCGTTACATCAAGGCTAAGGGCGCCAGCGCCGAGACCCGCATCGTGGGCATCGAGCACCAGGCTGATCTGGTGCGACTTAGTAAGGCCAACTTGAACACCGACGACCGCAGCATGCTCGACTCCGGCAACTTGCTGATTGTCGAGGGCGATGGGCGCAAAGGATATCCCGCCAACGCCCCCTACAACGCCATCCATGTGGGAGCTGCTGCTCCGGACACGCCCACCGAACTGATCAACCAACTGGCAAACGGTGGACGCCTAATAGTGCCCGTGGGCCCCGACGGCGGCTCCCAGTACATGCAGCAGGTGGGCAGATTCTTTTTATCAACTAGCAACTCCAGTAACTAAAAGAAATCGTTCTCTACAGTACGACAAGGACGCCAATGGAAAGGTGGAGATGACTCGACTTATGGGCGTGATGTACGTGCCCCTTACAGACCTACGCTCCTGACTACACCGTGTGGGATCGACACTGGTTGTGGTGGTGCTGCTCGGCTTGATTCTCTACCAATTTTGGGCTTATCGCTAGTGCTAATTATCCAATCATAATTCAAATGCTTGTTTTCACGTTGAGTCCAATTAAATAAGTTTCCTGAACAAACTCATTATGCGCCTCTAATTAGATTGACTCGTTTACTCGTTGTATTTGGAGTATGAAAAAATACATTAGGTTGGGAACATAAAATCAAACAAATAAAAATGGGAATTTATAATTATTTAGATCTAAAAACGGTACCAATATATTTGACAAAAAAAATTGAAGAATATAAAATTTATTGGTAAATCCAATTCAAAATCAAAATAAGGAACTGCAATAAGAGGACTTTTGAAAATTATTATCCAGTTATCTCATTCACTTTCTTTCGAATTTCTAACTTAAATTACATATAACAACCCTTACAAGAGTATACAAATATGGAAATATTTATCAAATATTTTGAGTACGCAGTTTTAAATGGTTTTTCTTAGCTTAAAATGTTAAGATTAGTATAAATCGAAGGCAAATTTTAATAGATAAACCTAGGAAAATAAAAAAAATGTATTATGGTTTTGTTCCGAAATAGCAGTTTCAAATTCTTAAACAAGATTGGTGTTTTTTGTGAAATGTGGGATTTTAAAGAGCCCTTGCTAAAAAATCTATGCGCATATAATTTCTGGCTTATATGTGTATGTATGTTACCTTGAGATGAGTTCAAAATGTTATGCAAATGTTGACATTTCTGTTCCATTTCCTTCGCATTTAAATTGTATAGCGATCTGCTTTTATTGCGTGGACACATTTCATTTTGATATTGAGCATTGTTTTGTTCTGTTTAGTATTATTATTTTCACATTCGTACTAGGCTTTTTTTACAATTTCACTTGACAATAATGTCAAAGTCAAGTCATATTGGTTGTGGGAATTTTAAATGGGCAGTATTCAAAGGGAGCTCGACAGGAGTTGACCACAGGTTCTCCCAGCGAATTAAAAATAATAATAAAAATCCGTAAAAAAAAACGCGACATATAAACTTGGAGTTGAAGTGAAATAAATCAAAAACAAATATGGCGTGAAGTGGTAAGGATTATCATTAACGATGAGGTGAGGATTCCTTAAAAAGGACTTTGTTGATTAGATAAGTAGTAACTAAAATTGAGTAGTTTGCTTAGTAGAAATACATTGGGATGTGTAGTGGTTTCCGACACAGACTTTAACACAATATTTAAGCGTGTAAAATAAATAATTGTTAAAAAAATGATTAAAAAGTTAAAAATAAAAAAAAAAAACCAAATTGGATGTGGTTTTGAATTGTGATAAGGGTATATCGCTCCTCTGGTAGGCATGCCATCGCCGATTTAACCTTCAAAAAATAAATAAGGCGCGTTTCAGTTGCTTTCAATAAGTTTAAAAATCCGATTGGCGGGAGTCGAGTTACGATTTGATATCGCCAATCGAACCTTTGCCATCTCTAGTGACAGATTGTGGCAGTTTAAAAACAAAAAGTCAACTGAAATGAAATCGTCTAACAACGAAATGCACGCCACAGACGAGGACTTTCGAAAAAAGACCTTGTCGTGGCGTTCCTTAGCCGCAATATCCTTGGAAAGCACGGGTCGGGAGCTGGACGACGGAGTGTCCCGGTGGCTGTCGCTTAACCTCGAGGAGGACATTAAAAACATGCTAAACGAGGCGGGCAAATTCATGCGGCGCAACCGGAATGACCGATTGTGTCTGTCGCACATCCAGCAAGCTGTCCGGATGGACGAAAACCTCCCCAAGGATCTGTTCTTCAGGCTGGTCCTGCACGAAGACTGCTTTAGGTTGCCTGCAGGAGAGCTGAACCGCACGGCGGGCGGAGTGCATATTACGGATCCTGGGCCTGTGCATCTAGTTTCTTGCCAGGAATCCGAGCCAGAGTTTCTGCTGGAGCCGCCGGCTCCCTCCCTCCAATCAGGTTGGCTGAAGCTGGAGCAGGTACTGCTGAAGCCCGTCAAACGCTATCCGCTGACCAAGGAGCAGCAGTGCTTTTACGAGCTGATCACCGAGGCCTCCGTGGGATCCTCGGAGCTACGGCGTCAGCGAGCGCTCCAAACTCTCTCCACGGATCCCTCGGTGAAGGTGCTGCTGCCCACGTTAAGCGAGTTCATCGCGGACGCAGTGGGCATCAACGTGACCCAGCAGAACGTGTCACTGCTCCTCTACTTGATGCGCATGGTCAGAGCCCTTTTGGGAAACTCCACCGTGAGTTTGTTACAATACGTGAGTATTTGGCCCTGCGGAATATGAGCAGCTGAAGAATGCCCCTGTTGCGTTTTAGCTCCACCTCATCCTGCCGGCTGTTCTTTCGTGCCTGCTGACCAAACAGGCCTGCCCAACCGCTGGCTCAGATGATCACTGGGCCTTGAGGGAGTACTCCGGCAACGTGATGGCCCAGATCGTGCGCCACTTTGAGGCCTCCGACAACAGCATCATGCCCAGAGTTATTGGGCAAGTACTGCGAATATAACTTTGCCTTTGCTTTCTGTCGGTTCATTAAGCATAAAATAAGCCTAGGAATGTATAAAGTCGCTTCCGTTCTTAGGAAGTACTTGACTGTTCTTCATCAGTTCGAAAGCCAAGTTCATCTTGACATTTTTTTTAGGGTTGTTGACCTAGAGGCTTATTAATTACATCATGAAACGTTTACGAAAATGTAGTGAGTTTTACTACTGGATGTATGCTTTTTTGCAGGGAAACTTGTTCTAAAGACAAAATTAATGTCTAGCTCCCATTTGGTCTCCTGTTGTCCTGGCCCAATTGTACTGTTAATAATATAACAATTTTTGTGGTAAATTTTTAATTTTAAATCTGTAAAAATGGTAAAATATTTATGTATTTCTTTACCGGTTTCAAAAAATCGTTTTTTTTTTATTTTCTTATAAAATTGTATAACATCGATAATATTGTCCACAAATTTTAAAGTTCCCCACTGTTATTGTTTTTCTCGAAACGGAGTTTTCAAAGTCGGTTGTCAAGATTACTTGCGAAATACTCAACCGATCTAAATGAAATTTAGATAACAAAAATTTTTTGTCTGCCAAAAGTACAATTGTCACCTTTTTTCCATTGATTCTGCAAAAAGTTCTGCCATCTGCCGGAAATGACGCCGTTATAGCCAAGTTTTTAATATATATTTTTTTAAACTTCACAAAAAATGTATTGATTATGTATCTTTAAAACAAAAAGAAGGTTGAAGAAAAGAGTTCATTTTTTATATGAAAAACCAATTTTTGAAAATAGCGCGTTTATTGAACGAGGAAACGTATGTAACCCCTTAAGTGAAGAGCGGATTTTACCCCACTCGGGTAAAATTGAAAGAATTTGTCGTATTTAAATTAAGTGCTAAGAAAAATGTGAGTTAAAAAATTGTCCACACCAAATCCTAGATACTTAGCTGCACCAATGATTACTGATGTTGTAATCTAAATTTCTATTTCTATTTATATTGCAGGACCTACAAGAAGGCTCTTCGCATGGAGCCACTGACGACGGTGTATGGAGCAGTGATTGGCTTGGGAAAGTTGGGCAATCACGCGGTGCGCTCTTGCATTGTACCTCAAATAGAGTACCTATATGGACGCATCGAGCCTCACCTGACTGCCAGTAATGGGTGCTCCAGCTCCAGCGTGGACAAGCAGGCCGCTAAGTACATTCGCCACCGTGTGTTGAAAATGTGCACTTCGGTGCTGAAAAGGATTCACCAAGCGCCGGATCTCCCGGAGCAGTATACCCAAGCGTATGGACTTTTGGGTCCGCCGTTGTGCTACTCCGTCATCGTATCACGCATCCAGGGGGAAGCGGTAGCAGCAGCCAAGGCCGAGTCGGAAGCGGCGTCCAGGATAGACAAGGCCATAACCACTCCCGAACAGCTCAAGGTCTCAAGAATTGCAGGACCTGTATGTGTCGGCTCTAAGGCTCAAATCTCTACCAATCAATTTCCCAGCAATGGTATTCGTCGCATCAACGATTTACCTGGTATATCTGGTTCTTCCATTATTCCCATGAGTGGACTTAACGTCATGGTCCCACCACGGTTATCACACAACCCAATGGCTCTGGTAAAAAATCAGGCGATCCCTGGAAAGCTCGTGGTTCAACGGGCTCAGCCGCCTCGATTCAAAAACTCTTCAGTCCCGCCGGCAATCAAACGTCCCTTCTCGCCAGCCAACAATGCAATACTCGTGAAGTCAAACAAGCAGTGCGCTTTTCCCTCTATCAACAATGGATTTATTTCTTCAGCATGCAATAATGGCAGAAAGCCCATTACCTATTTACTTAAATAGTTATTGTTTACGAACTTAATATTAATTGCAATACTTATAAAGCTCTTGTGATTTAACTTTTGAAAAGCTGAATAAACCTTAGAGAACTCCAATGCACGTAATGAACCAAACACTGTTGAGAGTTGAGATAAAGTACTAAAAATGTGTTCTAAAAATGTGCACAATGTCAAAACAAATTATTAAATTGTTTTTCGTTAAATAATGGCTATGCGCTTTTAACATGGATACTAATCTTACCTTGCGGACTAGTCTAGCATATATAAAAGGTACAAAGTTATCTTTAAAGCTTTATGACCATAACAACTCCTTAAAGATAACAACTCCTTCGCATTAAAGCGAAGTATTGGTCAAAAGCCGAAAACTCAAAATGACCAGCAGTGCCAATTTCCTCAAATACAAATTTGAACCAAATTTTTGCCGTTACACATGTTCTTGCAGCCCTGGCTAGTCAAACCATCGATATCTGAAGGAGTATCGATTAAACAATCGAGTACGACAGGACAATCGATTAAAACCAGTGTGCCCCAGGGGTGCATTGAAAAGAGCGTATGTGTATTTGTTTGTCTGCTCGCTCAATAAAGTCAAAAAACGGAAAAACGCAGCTTTGTGATCTTGCGACTCGCCACTACGATGCTTCCAGAGTCCGAAGCTCCGGGAATTTGATATTGGTAGCGAGGTAAAAGGCAGTTGTAACTCAAAACCGACAACGACAACACAGAACGCCTTGTGTGCGCAGTATAGGTGTGCGTCTCGTCGCGTGTGCGGGTGTGTGTGTGTGTGCGGCAATTAAACAATAAGAATCGTTGGGAGCAGGGCCGTGGGGCTGGTTAACTGGCGGGCGGGGGGGCCACTTCAGTACAGTGTCTACTCATGGTCGTGGAACGGTACATTTAGGGACCCCATAAACGCAAGCGAAGCGCGAAATTGGTAGTAAGTTGTGGTAGGTGGCGGAAATGTGCAGGTGCCTGTGCGGCAGGTGAAACCTGAGTTCTCAGACAGTCTGCCAAACTCGTTTCGACCCTCCTGCAGCCAATGTGTAAATCGCAAATTTCGTTAACTTGAGTGAATCTGCTAAGTGCGTGAAACTGAAAAATTCAATGCAGCGAGTATTTGTTTACATCTGGAGCTCTCTTTCGCTCTTTCCCTCTCCCTCTCTCTGTATCCCCTGGAATTCGAACTATTCCCACCATCACACATGCCCCACTGAATTTTCAATTAGATCATTAATTTTAATATTGCGCGCGCTTGTGCGATTTCAATTAGCTTGGTTAGCCTCAGCCATAAAAGTAACAAGAATAAAGTACTGACATCTAGTCAGCCGATTTTTATAATACTCTTCAAAATCATTCAAGTTTTTCTGTAGGATTCTGCCTAATAGATTTGTGGTTAATAGCAATGAAAAGTATATCTGTCTAGACCTCATATATTTAACTGCAATGCTTAGTCTGAACAGTTTAAAAAAAATTCGGTTAAATAGACCCTTTTTGCAAACAGTATGTAAAACTCGTCCCACGGTTGGTTACAATTATAAAATATCTTACAAATAGTTGTGAAGCTGGATTTGTGATTGGTTTTTCCCAGTACATTTTAACAGCATTATAAATTACCAAGAAGCTCTCCATAAACACTCGACTATTCATTTTGCTAGAAACTACATATTTAAGTAAATCTTTTCAGAATTTTTCATTCCAATCGGGAATGGACGCAATGTTAAAGTGAACGCCGGCGCCCAACTACCAAGCCCATGTCCCTGCAGGCCGCCCCGGTTCCGGTGCCGGCTGCCGTGCCGGCCACTTTGTCGGTCAGTGCCTCGGGCACCCAAATGATACGTCCCCAGACGCTGGCCGGTCCCGAGCGGGAGCCCATCGAGTTCAACATCAACCTAGTGGGAGCACCGCCCGAGGTGGAGCAGCTTGTGGAGCAGATCAAGAGCGTGGCCGAGCAGTTCCTCTACCACTGGAAGAGCTTTCCCATCGGTGAGTTGCCACCGAGATCACTGGGATCCATGACACACTGATCTGAACGAACCCCATTGCAGTTCTGCCCCAGGCGCTGGCCAGTAGCGGACTGAATCTGACGGCCAGGAACGCGGCCAACAGCGTGAGCAGCCGCAAAACGCGTCCCATTAATCTGCGCGACCTCTTCATAGCGCCTCCCTTTGACGAGCTGGACGCCGTGGCCTCGGATGGGAGTGGAGAGCCCCGCCGGCTGACGAGCGCCCAGCTGAAGACGCTGCGGGAAACTGGGTGAGTGTGCGGTCACGAGACAGAGAGAGACACTGCTCATTGCGATGATGGATAGATTGATGGATGAGTGGATTGTGGATGACGGATGATGGATGGAGCGACTTGCAATTGCCAGCTAAAAAAAAAAAAGAAAAAAGAGCTATTGTGCAGCTAGCAGTTAACAGCTTGCTGATTAACCGCGCTTTTGCCACATCCCCTCACACCTGATAGTGGTTTCTTTCGTTTATTGAGTTCCTTAACTATTGCCAATCATTCCGCGACACTTTGCACCCAGCAAACGCAAAATCAAATTGAGGCATGCTCCAAATCTATATACAAAAAAAAAGAAGAAATGAACACGATACCAGCTATCGTGGTCTGTTTATTTGTTTCTTAACCTTAACCAAACAAAATGCATGTCCCACTACTATTGTGTTTTTATTTCTGTGTATCACTTGCCAATGAAACGTGAAACGGTAAACAACAATTTGTATGTGACATATTTCTGTAAAGCTTGCAAAAGGATAAATATGGAAAGCCGAAGAAATTAACTTTGGAACAATTGGAAACTATACGTAAAAATGGGTAAATAATAAACACTATCAAAAAGGCGATCAAGAAAAGCCAAGGCAACCTACTGCCACTGCATTAAAATCTGTTTAGTCGGTGTTCTTCCGTTTGTACATACGTTATCACTCAATTATTTACTCAATGTTAATTGTTTGTATGATATATTAAGTCATTGTCTAAAACCGCTATGATAAATTTGCATGCTCGTTAAACTGAAACGATAGATGAAAAGCGTATCTGCATGTTGAAAACCTGTGGGACACATAAAAAATGTTAAGGGTAAACGCAGATACTTCAGGAAAAAAAAACCTGTTTGTGTAGATTTAACAAAAAAATGTTTTGTTTTATTTTTAAGTGCTGATGTAAGCAGCATTTTTTAAGGAATTGTGTGTGTTTTTCTTTGTATTTTCATCGGAACCAAAGATACTTACCCCAGATCACACTCACATATTTACACAAACATGTAAACATATACATACTATTCACTTAGAATCGGGCAAAACATAATTCTGAATCTGGAACACGCTTGTGCATGCCTAATATTTGTCATTGAATCTAGTTCATTTACGTGTTTTGTGTTGCATTGATCTTTTAGACACCATGAGCGCCCAGCTAACTCGTATCTTTACTCCTCCACAGCGAGTTCGATGTACCCAGTCTGCATTTTCCTGGCCAGGTGCACAAGTGGCGCCTGTCGCAACTCCTGCAGAAGGGCAAGTTGCGTGCCCAGGACTCCTTTTTGAGCGACCTAGCCCTGGCCGCCCGGTTCGTGGTGGTCACAGCTCGAGCACGGATCTTCTCGCACTTCTTCTCCGTGGTGCAAGCCATGCACGGCCTCTTGGGAGCGTTCACCAAGCTGGCGGACATGTTCATTGGGGTGCCGGCTTTATTGGCCCACAACCTGGACTACAAGATCAAGGAGGAGCGTTGCCGATTTCTCATAGCCGAATTGGTTTGTCGAGTAAGTTTATTCTTTTACATTTAATGTATGGTTGACTTTTTAGCCCGTTTTCTTTCCACGATTTAAACAATAATAAAAATATGATAAACAGTCGTTAAATTTAGTTTTTACTTGCCAACTATTTAAATCTTATCAGGAAAAAACATGAAACCATAATTAAGTTATGTGAGATCAAATTTTTCCTTTTAATTTATTGTAAATGTGTTAAATTTTAAACCTACCTTTTCGACAATAAAGTACAAAGGCCTAACGAAAATACATTTTTCATATAAAGAGTAATCTGCACTCACTTCACCTTGAATTGCTTTATAATTTAGGCTTACATATTTAGCCTGAATTGAAACCTTTTTGTTGTCTTTCAGCCCGAGTTTGAGGACTGCTTGGACGGTTTGTGCTCCTATGTTCGAAAGATGCTGCGACGCGCCACCATGGAGAAGTTTGACTTTAACAGCTGCGAGGTCAGCCAGCCCGTGCCCTATCTATTCCTCACGCCTAAGGGACAGGAGATCGACCTGCGCCTCTTCTGCCGCGACATCATGCGCAAGGCTCTGCCAATTCTGATTGGCATTCTGGAGAGGGAGACGCGTGGCTGGTTCCTGCACTTTCGCGAGCGTCTGATTGCCGAGCTGCGGGCCAAGAAGCTGAACGACAAGGAGATCGAGGAGGAGGTGAACGAGGCGGTTATGAAGGAGTATCTGCAGCGCGTCTACAGCTCCATCGTCGCCAATGCCAAGCTGGCGGAGCTGGGCGCCGGAGTGCCGGAACTCCTGGTGCAGCAGGCCCAGTCGGTGGTGATCATGTACAAGGCGGTGGACAAGGTGGAGCAAAACATCAAGCGCACCCGAGAGGATCACCAGAAGTGTCTCGCGAACGACCATTCCGTGCTGTCGCGCGTTGCACCCTGGCTGCGCTCCAAGCTACGCCACGCCGAGGAGAACAGGCTGCACAAGAGCGCCTGGTCGGCGCACGAGGAGGCGCTGAAGATGTGCACCCAGCACAATCTGCATCAGACCGCCTACTTCCTGTCCCGCGACCTGGCCTTTATGAAGGAACGCGAGCCAGTGCTGCTGAAGGAGCTGAAGAACGCCAAGACGCCCACGCGCAGCTTTCAGTGGGCCTGTCGCATTTGGTCGCCGCAGTCGTGGATCATCCGTCGCAACTTTCAGGGCCAATCGGACGTAATTCCCACTGTGATCAGCCAGCATGCCACCAGCATTGTTACCCCCCGTTCGGATCCCAGCCAGCCGGTGTTTCTGGTGGAAAAGGAGATTATCCGGACCACAAGCACCCGCTGGCCGTTCTGGCGCCTCCTCAACATGATCCAG